TTATAATTTTTTTTTTACAATTTTTTTTTATAATTTTTTTTATAATTTTTTTTATAATTTTTTTTATAATTTTTTTTATAATTTTTTTTTATAATTTTTTTTATAATTTATAATTAGAGAATTTTTTGAGATGCAAAGTAAAAAAAGTTAAACGCTCTATAACCTGTTGCTTTAAAATTATTTTAATAAGTTAAAAGTAAATATCTAGGATCAAAATATAAAAATTAATATTAACAATTTAAAAATCAAATCGATTTTACTATTAATATGGACATGGCATAAATCAATATAGAAATTATGCGTCTGACATTTTCAAATAAATTTACTGTGGTAACGGTAGTGAGGTTTTTTAAATTTTGTCCAGAAGACATCACATCATAATTAAGGTATGCGTTGTATTGTTTTGTGTAATACTACCATTTACACAACAGATTTTTTACGTATATGTATAACCTTCAATTTGTTTTAAGTGTAACTTCAATAAAATATTATTGCGTGATACGGTTTTTGTTTTTTCTTTTTCCTTTGAGGGACAATAACCTTCTTCAACTAAATAGAGATGACTTGAATTAATCACTTTAGATAAACATTGGTCTTTTAAATAGTAAAAATCGTAATTATGATTTTTTAAGTAAATTATCCAAAAAGTATTTGTCCAAAAATAATTAGTCCACAATTAATTTGTTTTTAAGTAAAAAGAAGAACAAAATAATCAAATTACAGTAGTAAATTTAAGTAGTTTACATATAGCAATAATTTAAAAAATAATACACAAACAAACCTTTTTTCAAACTTTGTAATAATTTTTTAAACGTTCCAATTGAATTAAAATAAATATCAATGGAACACGATAGGCTTTTCAATTCACTAAATACGCGTGTAAGTGGATTATGACAATCATAATTTGTTAAATACCTATATTCATATATAACTATGATCAACAACAAGCTGTTCGAAACAATTTATTAAACCATTTAACAACTTATGTAAGAATAATAATTTGTTCTCAATTAATTTGTCCAATAATATAACAAAAAAATCAGGTAAATTAGGTATATATTTATCTCGCCAACAAATATTTGCAGCGACCCCCACTCCTCCCCTAAATCCGCCACTGACTGTTAAGATTTGTTTATAGTCGTCACGAAATTCGGCTGGAAAATCTACCCCAAATGAGCTAGTTCAGTGATGATGTAATTATGGTTCCACTGACAATTAAAGTGACAGTAGATTTTGTGAGTGCATTTTGTTCATTTTGTTTACCTAAATTATATCATTTTTTTCACTTTTATAAATATATACCTAAAGTAAGTAGATAGCATGCATCAAATATACAATCGTTTAGTTACCAATTACATACCTTTCAACTATTTTTTCAAATAAACAATATTTAGAAATAAACTTAAAACAGTAAAAACGTATATGTCAAATTTATTGATGTTTTTGTTAAAAGTTTGGTTAGAATTAAATGTCAGTGGAACCAAAATGACATCACACTGAACTAGCGTATTATATAAAGGTATATCTAATGTGGCATAAAACCACCATCTACTCGATCATATTAAAGGTTCTTTACAGGAGCGTAGGTACTTCGAATTCAATTATTAACAGTAGTATTTAGAATTGACGAATTATTTATTTACTTACTTAATAACAATAATGTCTAAATGAAATTATTTATAATTTACCATAATTTGGTTTTCCTAATATATAATAATTAAGCATTACCAAGCAATTACTGATAATAAAGCTCAGGTACAAAAATAATATAAAGATACGACTCCGTACTTCGGCCAAAATCGTACCCAGATTTATATCATGTGTATTAATGTGATTTTTAGGTACCTACACTTACTAGTGAAGACTTCCGCCTACTGCAGGTTTCTCCTCTCGAAGAGTCCCCTCACAGCAGGGCTGCCAGATTCAGTACGTTTGTACTGAATTCAGTACTTTTTCAGTACGTCAGTGTTACGTTGTTACTTTTAGTACGTTTTTGTTAAAAATAGTTAATTCAGTACCATTTTCAGTACTATTTTAACATTTTTTGAATAAAGTGACGTATTTTACTACTAACGATGGATGACAGTTGACAGTTAAGTCATGTGATTAATCAAATAATTTATTTGAAATTGAAATTTATTTTAGTTGGTTGTAATTCTGAAAGAAAATGAATTAAGGCGTTTTTTTGTTATACATAAAGATTATATATAATTTAATAAAAGTGTTAAACCACAAGCAAATCATTTTTAGTTAACTTGTTCCATTTGTTGTTATATGGTAAAATTTTTGTAAATGTTCAAAATTTTTCTATAAAAGTTATTTAATAGTTAATGAATTTAAATCTCCAGCCATTTTTAAAGTGTTGTTCGATTTAGGTACTAGTACACTTTCATAAAATATAGCTTTTTTAAATTTGGTTATTCAGTACGTTTTCTTTGAAATTCAGTACGTTTTAAAATGTTTTTCAGTACGATTTGTCATTTTCATTCTGGCAGCCCTGCCTCACAGGGACTCTGAACAGGGTTTATACCTCGGTAGGCAACATACCTTAGATAATATATGGTACATATAGGCTACCCCTGTATAAATCTATACAATGTTGATGTCGCTCTAATAAAATCATTGTTTCGTTTTCTAATGCAGGCTTTCTCGCTTATATTAGAATCTTCAGCAGTAGCGTACGTAAACGGATTGCATTGGGTTATTTTAAATGTGAAAATAGTGACTGCAAATAGATTAAAAAAGTACAAAATAATGTTAATGGTAGAACTGAAGAAATACATAAAGCATTTAATTTAAACATGACAAAATATTCCTAATAAGAATAAAACAAACCAATATATATTTACCTATTTAGCATAAGTAGAAGTATTTTAGGATATTAAAAAAATATATAGGAATTTAATTTACTTTTCTAATGACTTCATTTAAAATATAAATTATCTAGTTACTTTATTTAAATTAGGTAACTAAATATTCTTATATTACTGATGATAGTTTATATTTTAGACCATGTACAAATATATACAGTATGCGTCCAAAAACTAATAATTTTTTTGATATTGCACATACGTTTTCACTCATCTTAATTGTGTCTGTAATGTTTTATTTCTGATTCGTAAGTTTGAAGCAGTACTGTTGGCAACAAAAAAGTCTTCGTAATGATCGATTTTCTAGAAACGTCAATGTAAAGTTACCAAAATATCTAGGTTTTCTGAAATAGGAATTCATATACAATTTGATGTATTAACTTAGATCAAACAGGGTTGCCAGACGTCCCGCCATAGGAGGGACAGTCCCGCTTTTTGCTAATCTGTCCCACCTTTTTTCTAATATTCCCAAGTCCCGCTTTTCACGCAAATTGTCCCGGTTTTCCCGCCTTTTCCAGGGTGTTACTTAATGATAGGTTGTGATTCGAAGGGCGCATTGCTGAACCAATTTCAAGTATAAACGTTTATATAAAAATGTTTCTTAAAAGTCTGGTTTTCAAGATACAGGTGTCAAAGTTTAAAAGGAATAGGTTTTTTATCAATATCTCAAAGATCCATTTTTCTATTTTGTTGAAATTTGGCAGTGTTCTTCATTGTGATAAGACGCTAAGTTTACACTGACTAGAAGATAATTATGAGTTTCAGAGGCGTCGCAGTCTTATGAATAATATTTACAAAAAAATGTACCCCACTGACTTTTCAACTTTTATATATTTCTTTTTCGATTAAGCAGCCAAAAATACAACTTTGTTTTTACTTACTTCGTTTTTGAGGAAAAAATAAAAACTACTTTTATTAAAATTAACAATAAGATCAAGTTAATTTCGATCGTTAAACTTTTCTACTTGGTTCAAGCATGCGCCTTTGGAATTACGGCCTATCATTAAGTAACACTCTGTATATATAGGGCATAAATAATGATGCCTTCTGTTGTTTTATTGTAAAGCGTTTATTTTGTTATTCTAACTTTTAACCCCACTTTTAACCCCACCATACTTGAACGAATTTAAGTAAAAACTTAAAAAATTGTCTAAAAATAACTGAAAATATAAATATAGAGATAGAGATAATAATCTATTTCTCTCTAATTAGAATCTTTCATGCGATATCAAGGCGACAAAAAAATTGTTTACTGTCCTCTCTGTATTACTCTGAGCAACAGACGCGAACCACTTGGACAACAGACGACACGCCTTGCACACTATTGGCTCAACTGGTCACCACCAGAGGGGGTGGATGGAAGGATCTACAGGTTCTGATCCAGATTATTCAGGATGGGAACTTACTCAACTCGGGTCTATTACTACGTGCGTGCGTGCGTACTGAAGCGAAAATTGTCTTATCTGTATGTTGATTTATGGTTTCAGATAAGTGGGTAAATAAATCCTCATAAAATGACTGGCCGAATCTTACCGAAATAAATTTCTACTATACCTGAAACTTGTTTCTGATTTTTACAATTCTTTATAAGTCCGGTAAAGTAAAAGCTCTTGAATCAAAAAAAAAAAAAAAAAAAAAATAGTTGCATTATTTCATCTTTAATTTAATTATAAAAATAAAAGTTAATTGATTTTAAAATTATTCCGTAAAACTATAATAAATTAATACCTACTACTTTCACCGTTGATTTTTATGCTCTTATTAAATGATTGTTAATTAAAAATTGGATCATTTAATTATAACTTATTCGTTAAATTCTTACAAATCATTGTAATTTAATGTGATTAATTGTAGAAAATGCCTATTGTTATCGTTCAACAAATTTCATGGCTTAGTAAGGAATTTATTTTTAATAATAACAATAAATAAAAATGTAGCACGTTCAATAAAAAAAGTATTTCCTATTTGAATATAAATTTAAATTATTGAATGTCACGTACTTACGCTTTTTTTATAACACTATTATATACAGTTACTAAATATTTTTAATAGTTAATTCATTATTTTTAATGAAAATATTTTTTCATCAAAAATTAACGGCATTTACTTTTGGAAAAGATTTTTGTTTACCTTCGGTAATGCTGCCAAACATTGTTGTTTCACGTCCCAAACTAATTGGTCCCTGGGAAATTGGAGGCATTTTTGGACGTTGAGTTCTGGGACGTGGATTCTGACCAAGAGGTGACCCTCTTCAGGTCCTCTCTCGTCCTCCTCCTCCATTAGCCTAGTTAGTTCCTCACATCTGCAAATAAAAAGCATGTATAAATATAAACTAGTATGTTATGTCTAAAAGATCTGTTGTACCCTCAGATAAACAAATGAAATATAGAAAAGTAACGGGCGCAATTTAGTCTATGTTTGAAGTACGAACGGTTGACAGTTGTGATCTCCATGGTCGTATCATATAGTGTTTTCATTAGAATCCAAAGGATTATCTTATAAATATTTTGTCAGGGACAAATTTAATTCAAACATGAAATTTTATTTTACAAAAATCTAATTCTGCAATTTTTTATTCAAATGTAATAAACCATCTTTATAAAAAAATTAGGTTTTAAATGATTACACTGTTAATATTGTTTATGTGCATCGTAATTTGTATGGGGTGGGGTAAAATTTGCCCATTTTACACTGTTATGGTAGGCGACTTTTAAAGAAGAAGTTGTAATAATTGTCTGTAATTTTTAATTTTAGTTTTTTTTTTAAATAAAAGTGTGAAAATTTATCATATTTGGTTTTTCTCATTTTAATAATATGAATTTTCATCAAGTAACAATCAATAAATTAAGTACTAATTTTCTATACTTACAACTAATAAAATTCGTTAAAAAAACATACTAAAAACTTTAAAGACTTTAAAAATATGCCTTGGTAGTATAAAATCACATAAAATGTACAAAAAAACTGGAAATTCCCAAGTGCTTGTTGATAGATGTGAATAAATCTTGGCGTTGTTATTTTAAAATAGAAAAATCACATCAAAGACCCAGGAGAAAAAGAAAGTAATAGAAAAAAGGATAGATACTGGCTTCAAACAAATCCAGACCGTTACTTATCTACCTATCTGTTTATCTGAGGTTGTGCCCCCTTCTATCGCTAATACAGTAATTATTAGCAGTAAAAAAATGGTTTTAAGTAAAAAATCATGATTAAAAGAAAAGTGTTTGATTACCAAATCCATTCAATATTTACATGGATTACTGTATTATACTTTCACACACTGGCTAATTAAGTGACAGACTATAAAAATATTTACGACCATTTTTACAACTTTTTTAATTGATAATAAAAAATGTAAAAAAAGTAATTTATTTATATTTCTAGTGAAGTAGAAATTATTCTTAAAACTTTTACTACGCATACTAATTCTTTTATCTTAGTAATCTTTATTATTAATACCTTTTGGTTAATCTCGCTTTTATTTTCTATGTCAAGATGGTCGTAAATATTTTACGTATGATTGGAGATAACATTTTTTTCAATAATTATTTCTAATTTTAACGTTCACTTTTGTTATCTTTATTGATATTTATTGGAGTGATTTTAAGGCAGTCGTCAGCAATACTATTATGCAAATATGTCAAACTGTTATAAAGTGTAAATATTTGAAAATAATTAAATAATATTAAAATTTGTTTTATGAAGGCGCCTTTATTGTGTTCCTTTGTATTGTTTTATAATAAATTCCTACATTTTCGCAATAGTTACATTCACAATTTACGTACAAATAAAATGGATTTTTTTATGTACTAAAAAATTACCATTTTTCCCAAACCCACGAATAATAAAAAAATGATGTATCCATTTAAAAAATTGAAATAATGATGTTTGATAAATCGAAATTTAAACATTCTTTCTCACCTCGTATAACAAAAGATCTTTTAACGTCATATACTAGTTAATTACTACCTTTTTACTTTTAAATTTAACTAAAATAAATATTATTTTAATAAATTAGGTATATTTAAAAAGTAAATGATTATATCTAATATCAAATAAAACAGTTCATTTTTGGTTCGTTTACCAATTAATACTGAATACTTAAGAGTGCTTAAGATCTTCCCATTCTAAGCATATATTCGTTAACATCAACAACGAAATATCCCATAAATAAAGTCTTAAGTCTGTTGGGTGTTCTATTACACAGCAACGCTGTCATCGTCGTCATATTTCTTATAGTTCTATCGAAATCGATTTAAAATAAAAAAGTTCTACTTCTAGTATAAATAGAATTAACAGAACTGTCAAAATATTTTATATGATAACTTATTTTTAACAAAATCCGTTCATTAGTTTGTCATATAGATATATTATCCCCCCCATCAGAGGACAACCTGTATATTACATAGAGTTAGCGTCCAAATGAATTTTGTTTTGATGCTAGAGGGGAAAAATATAATACAACGATCAATATTCTCATGGTCTGTTTCTTTTTGCCTATCATAATCATATCGAAAAATTGTCATTTCATAAGCAAGTAGCCATTAGCATTTATGTTTGAATTAAAAATAAATTATGAATTTTAAAGAACATATTTAAGTATTATTACAAGCCTTCTGCAAGACAATTTGAGTCAATTTACAAGACTTCTAACTCATATAGAAATACTTCGTTTATATTAACTTCAAACCCCATAAAATTGATGCGACACTGGTTTTAGTGACTGCAGGATTTTCCCTCTTCGATACTAAACAAACTCTATTGAATGTTATCTCTATGTAATTTTTTGTTTTATTGTAAAAGAACGCAAACTAAAAATAAAACTGCTTAGTATGTAATTTGATTTTCAAAGTAGTCGGCTTTGTTACTGTTTCCCAGCGCCACTTCAGAAACAGCACTATTGATTAGAACCCAACAGTGAATTGTTTGAGTGGGGATTCCTACATATGCATCAGAATTATTTTTAAATAATTAAATAAACCTTATACCCTTGGAGTCTTGGAATCGCAAGTCTAGCCTCTAACCACTCAGCCATCTGCCCCCAGTCTCTATGTAATAAATATTTTTGAAAGTTGAAACTCATTTTAATGTCAAATAGTAAACATACATCTTTTAAATAATTACAGAGCTTTAGGGGTGCCACAAAGCTCGAATCTAGGCCCATTCGATTTTATCATCTTAAAAAAACTTGTTTAATCACTAGGATTATTTCTTTAAAATTAGGCTTAGTGTTATAACGTGTACATACATGCTACTCGATGTGATGGTCGAAGATCCCAAAGACCAAGCATCCTTTTCATCAAATTTAGTCCTTCTTATGTATTTCCGCATTTTTATCACTTATTTACTTTCATTTTAATCGTATATCGTTAAGGGCAGTAGTTATCAAATAGTTTACCACGTACAGGTAATTCATTAGAATAACTATTCACAGTATTTTTTTAAACACGTTTTTTATTTTCTTCTTAACACATTAAACTTGACTTTTTGAACTAACTACAGACACGCGGCACCTTAAAAGTCAACGCGAGTATTTACATGAACGATGTATGTTTTCTCGAAAACCACTAGACCTGACTTTGCAGTTTTACCGGCACATTTAAACACGAGCTCCAAGCTCGTCGAGTTTCTGCTGATGCCTCTAGTTCGTACCTTTTTTATCTCCCTGCGATTAGATTAGATATATATTGTATTCATACCGACATACACCTGTACGTATATCGTCAAATTACTACCAAAACCAGACACATAAGTCACATGAGATAATTGGATGTCGCAATAGTTTTGGCACAAACTATTTAACCAAATTTATATGTAATTTCTCGCTTATTTGAAAAGATACAAAACCATTATTATTGGCATTCAATAAATACCCTCTAATAACGTTTCAAAACTTCATTTAATTTTAGCACTCTTTGAAAACTAACGCCAATTTTTTTTATATCAAATTACACCCTCTGTATATTTTTCATAGAAAAGTAATTACCACTTTATTTTAATGTATTATTTATGTATAAAATATAAAAAAAAGAAAAGAAAATATAATTATAAGTATATTTCCTAAATTAGAGTACTTTGCATATGTTGGTGTTGTTATCAATCCCCATAATTATATTATAAAATTATTAGAGGTGACATTAACTAAAAGCACTGTACAGAGGATTTTGAAGTAAACACAAGAATCATCCTTTTAAATTGCATTAAGTTCAAGCTCAGAAGACCACTGACATTTTTGCCAAAAACTATTGTGATATAAGTTACTGATTTTCGACAGACTATGCAACTTTCAACCTAACTAAAAATAGTCACCAACTCTTTCGACCCAAAAAATCCTTTCGTAGCGGATACTTACGTTATAAAATAAACCTATGTTCCAAATTTCAGCTTTCTAGGCTCAGTCGTTTTAGCTGTACGTTGACAGGTCTGTCTGTCTGTCTGTCTGTCTGTCTGTCTGTCTGTCTGTCTGTCTGTCTGTCTGTCTGTCTGTCTGTCTGTCTGTCTGTCTGTCTGTCTGTCTGTCTGTCTGTCTGTCTGTCTGTCTGTCTGTCTGTCTGTCTGTCTGTCTGTCTGTCTGTCTGTCTGTCTGTCTGTCTGTCTGTCTGTCTGTCTGTCTGTCTGTCTGTCTGTCCTGTCTGTCTGTCTGTCCTGTCTGTCTGTCTGTCTGTCTGTCTGTCTGTCTGTCTGTCTGTCTGTCTGTCTGTCTGTCTGTCTGTCTGTCTGTCTGTCTGTCTGTCTGTCTGTCTGTCTGTCTGTCTGTCTGTCTGTCTGTCTGTCTGTCTGTCTGTCTGTCTGTCTGTTTGAATGTTTGTATTCAAATCGTAAACGTTTCTTATTAATCGAGAGAAGTTTGTGGGGAATTTTCTCAGAATCTCAGCCGGGTATATACCAGGTGATACATTTTTTCTTTTTGTTATTTTCAATAAACGATTCCGGTATTTATGTTAGGAGGGTATGATAAAAACTGCTACTTAGAAATTAAACAGAATCGTTATAGTAAAACAATAACGATGTTTTTATAACTTTAATTGCAGGTATGTAAAAATGAAAACAAGAATGGATTTTTCAAACGACTGATCATAGTAAACAGTTATTCTTCATATACTTACTGCAATATCTTGTAACATAACTTATTTTTTAAATTATACCTGTTGGTTTTCGAGTTCTAACTCAGAAAAATCTATTGTTTTTTATTAGATCTGAGAATTAGGTCTAAGAGCTGTAGAGCTTAGCCGCCTTTCTAATTTTACAGATTTGATAACTTATTTCAATACCACAAAAAAGCCATAGTAATTATCTTACTTG